GGTGGAGCTTGAGAAGGTATGGTATTTACAGAAGTACAAAGGAGTGAAGTGGAGTGCAACTGATCATGTTTCGAAGCCTCCAAGTGGGAGATTGTTGGGGTGTAGGCTTCGGCCCATATAGATTTGGGAGCCAAATAAGCAGTGAGCAGCAGCTAGAAGTGCAGCTAGCCGTAGCTAGATGTGCAGCCAGTCCTAGTTGGGCCTGTTTTCTGGGTGGCAGTCAGGCCCAGAGTTTAATTAAAAGTTTACCCTAATTGTTTGCCTATATATACCGCCTCTTGTACTTGTAAACGACTGTACTGTATTTTCATCACCTCAATAAGAAAGAAAACCCTAGTTGCCCCCGTGGATTAGGTCAGTAACATTTACTGGCTGTACCACGTTAAATTCGTGCGCCGTTCTTCTCGTTTTTTTTATTTTCTTTCTACTATTGTTCAGATCCGTGTGTGAGAGCTAGAGATACTAACCCTAACAGCCCGTCCTGCCTTCGGTAAACCCACGGGGGCTTCTTCCTCTCTTCTTCCAAGCCCAGATTCTGCTTCATATCAATACTGCACACTTGATTTTATTCTGTTAAATACTCTTCATTTCATTTTACTTGCTCCACTTGCTTTTATGGGATTTTTTATTTTTTATTGCTTGCTCCGCTTTCCTTTATTGGCATTTATAAATGTATTAGAAGCCGTAAATGCCCTTACTTTTTCATCTTTTATTTCTTACCTTTCCTACCTTTTCACCTTCTCTCCCACTTTCTCACTCTTTCTACACTATACACTATCCCTAGAAATTTATTTTTGAACTCCATGAAACCTTAACTTTTATTGATGTGACTTTGTACTTTCTCAAGACTATTGCATTGTTTATATATAGAAATAATTGGTCTAAACCCACTACTAATAGGAAACTTTAACCGTAAGCCTTACGGGAATAAAACCCACAATATATAGTACTACTAAACCTGTTATTGATTTCTATATGTTAGTAATAGCTTTTATTGTACTTAAAGCCTGCGATTTTCACCATGGGTCATCCGGAAACAGTCTCTCTGACTCTCTGAGCTTTAGTACAGGGGATAAGGTTGCGTACATCCGACCCCCCTCCCTTACCCTACCGTAGGTGGGAGCCTTTGCGGCATTGAGGTAATGATGATGATGGCAAAAGCAAGAGACGCTACAAAGCAGCTTTTCCTGCAACAGGATGGAATATCATCAATCATGTGAAGACAAAATTTCATATAAAAAAGATCAGAATGCTCCCCCATAAACTAAAAGATATTAAAATTTTATATTTCCTTTTGGGTTAAACTTCGGCCCTTAATTTATGAAATAGATATCTGTTTATTCATTTACAATACACACAGATATATGCATAAATAGATTTTGGTTGAAATAAGGATATGATCTTATCATCTTATGAGTTATGAGAGACATGAGAATCAACTTAGTGCATTAAATTTGAGATCTGATGGCTCAAAAGATGTCAACAATGCATCAAATTTGATAAAAATGTATTTTTACTTCTGTAAATAGACCAAACTTTTCGGTCATCCAGAAAGTTACTGAAAACATTAGAGTGGTTCATGCTGATTTAAAAGTGCAGCATTCACATTTCCCACTTGAAACATCATTCTCACTGGATCTTGACCCTGTCTATATATGCTTCACCCAAGCTCTTGTTTAACTAGTAGGGCCTCTTTATTTTGCAGAAAACCCCGAAGGATAAAGATGCCAGTTTGGTAATCCATGGATTTGTAGATAAGGTATCATTTATATTTTTTCTCTATACTGATTTATTTTAAGAAATAGAGGTTAAACAAGCATTCAATCCCAGGAGTTCCCGTGTGCTTATGAACAGGTAATTGCAGGGGTCATGAACTTTCTCAGACTGCAAATCCCACCTTTTATTAGAATTGATCTTTTCCAGACCATCTTTACTCAGGCTTTAAGTCTAGGTAAAGTTCCTATATCTATACTTCTGTCCATGAGTCCATCATAGCGTACTCTCTAAGTAAATGCTATATTTACTCAAGTTGAAGGTTATATATGTTAAATTCTTTTTGACATGACCTCCATACCCTCCTTAAACTTTGATGCACTGATTACAAAATGTTTGCTCATGGGTTAGGTTCGATCCACTTATTTCTCATAGTAAGTTTATTTATCTTGTAGATAAAAAATATGTTAACTGGACACTTAAGTTAGCCAGCATCCATGGAAAAAAAGCCCCATTGCCTTTTATCAAATCTGTGGAGGTAAGTTTTAGTTCTATAATTACTTCTGCTCTGCTTTTTCATCTCATTTACCAAGATTTCTGCTATCTCTACACCATGAGCAACTTAACTGTTTTTATTTAAACTATACTTTCATTCTCATGTTGTCATTTCCAATGGAGCCAAAGACTCAGTATTTTTTGGCTTGGGCCCACCGTAGGTGGGAGCCTTTACGGCACTGGGGTAATGTTGTAATGTTGTTGTTGTTGTATGCTTTCATTCTCATACTTGCCAATCTAGTTGGTATCTCGAGATGGGGAAAGATTTGTTTATGATACGGTTGCATATTTGTCCATCTAATTTTTACTTGAGGCTAACTGATTTTTTTATGCACTGGGAATGACATCCTAGGTCTCCTTCTCTGAGAGTCCAAACATGAAAGCAGCTATTTTAGATAAGGAACCTTTTTGTCTCAAAAGGTACCATAACTTGTCTTCTGGTGTAAAAGTCTATGACTTGTTGGTAGATGTTTGCTATTTAAGCAACAGCTAAAATGTAAGTTGTACCTACTTGTCATAGTTTTTGTGGAAATCAAGAATGGAAGACAAAAGGGTTATATCTTGATAAACGGTAAAACGGATTTAAAGAATTATTGTCATTTGGACCCTCTTTTAATCTCTAATCACCTTTTGATCTGTAATAAAAAGGTTTTATGACAACCAACTTGAATTCCTTAACTCATTAATGTATTGTTTCAACCTATTCTTTATCTCTATTGATCTCGAATATGATCCCCTGAATCCTGATCTTTATCTTCAATGCATTTCACTGTTCCAATGTCATTTATAAATCCATAAACTAAAATATCTTTAACTATGAGCAGTCAACTCATTATGCACTTCAACATTATTCTATCAAACAACGTTATTGTTTATGGGAGTAGATCATTCAGTTTTCCCTAGTGCTGGAAGCTGCAACTTATAAGATAATGTTCGAATTTGAATGTCAAATGTCAATATATTATGAAAGTGAGCATTTTGAGGTTCTTTTAGATGATCAAGTATCAAATGTAATACAAACTTTGACGTGATATTGAGTTTATATTCATTGAAATTATAGTGTCATCATTGAAGTGTTTCTTTTCAGGAGGACAGTAAAGACAGCAGACCCTTTTGACATAACTTTCAGACTGAACTTGAGTGAGGGTTGCAAATGTATTTGTGCTGAAACAAAAATTCCAGTTCATTTTATGGTAAGATGCGTTGCGATACCTGCCCCTTCCTCCTAAAAAATTCGTCCACATGATTTAATGCATGAAACTGCTCCCTAAGAAGATGAAGATACATATTTTCTATAGGAAGTAGAGCTGATGGCGTTTAAATACAGGACTCTGTAAAGGACTCTGTATATAACTTCAAGGACGACGATGGTTTGGTCTTTGACAAGCTAAGGAGAGAGGCTATGGCTGACCCAAACTGTGGGCAGACTGCGCTATTTGAGAGAGAGACCATCTTGGTTCCTAAAACTGACATATTTGTCCATGCCATTGTAACTAACATTGTGAAATATGAAGCAACTCAGAGTTCAACCAATGGGTTGAAGAGGAAACATGAAGGCTTTAATGGCACTATCCCTTCTCGGAAGCGATCAAAACGCCACTGGAAACCCAAACATCCGTTGATAAATTAGAAGGCCACACATTGATATTTCAGCATACTGTAAATAGTTTAGCGCCACTGGATGATGCTTCACTGGTAAATGTTAATTTGTAGGAGCCGAGTGAATTTTGATAGGTCACACACACACTCGGGGTAGCTTATACGGAAAGAATCTGGAATACAGAAACCAGGGAATATTGATTGTTTTTTTTTCTGGGGGGGGGGGGGGGGGGATAGGCCTTGTCTCATTGTGGTAATTTAATTGTTCCGGCATCCATGATGTGGTCTCTACTTTTCAAGGTTCAAGGTTCTCACTTTTATGAGCATTTCATAGATTCTCATTTCTATCTTAAAAAATAATTATTCACTCTTTTCATTGATACATTAATAATATCACAATTTTCATCAATGACATCATTATATATTTATATTGTATACGCATCTAACTATTTTCTTAAAATATACTCTATTCATCATATTTAATTTTTACAATGAGAATCTTAACTTGAGATAGAGCTAGTATTAAATAGCTACTCCTTGTCCTGTATATTACCCTTTTTTTGTCTACTATTAAGTTTGTCTCGTACAAATATTTAGTACTAGTAATATTTAAGACTTTAAGTAGTTGCAATTCATTTTCTTTATTCACATTATCAATTTAATATTAATTATAAAATTTCACTTTCTTTAATGATTGCACCAATCTATCCTATCTCAAGATTAGGGGGTTGGATGAACTATATTTATTTTACAAAATAATACTTATTTGATTTTTTTAGAATTGTATAACATTCTCATTTTTACGTTTGTCAATGTACAACTTTGAGTATCACAAAATTTAATTCTCTATTAGTAGAAAACAGTATGAAAATTTATAACGAGATATCATGTACACCTAAACTTATACTTGGATTAATTTGGTATTGGATCACATTTTGTGAGAACCATTATATAGGTGCATAAAAATACCAAACCTTATGAAACCGGACCGGTATAATATTGAATTGGAATTGTACTAGTTTAAAACCATTATTACGTGATAGTTTGATACCAGATCTCATTAAGGAGAAAATTTTCTATCCCCCTTACCCCAAGCGGAGAGAGCTGCAAGTACATTGGGGGTGAAGTAGATGGGATTGAAGTGATTATAAATTTGCATTCAGATGTAAGAAAGTTTAAAGCATCACGACTGTTTAATTTTCAATCATCGGATGCCAACAAATAAAACAAAAACTATACATGTAAAATGCCCTCAATTCCGCCACATTGATACATATTCATCTTATATATCATTCCCCTAACAATGCCAATATTAGTAGTCCTAAAAATACATTGAGCAAGTATGGGTCAGACTCATTGCATCTCCAATACTTCAGATAAAATTGTTTTAAATGGGGTAGATAAAATAATGTCATTGATGCAAATGAGATTGCTGTAATTGACACTCCCCTTTAACATCATTGAAAAATCATGATCAGAAGGTTTTGTAAAGTATGGTATTAATCCCACTTCTCTTTTTGTTAGAAAACCATAATATAATTTTTATTTGAAAATATCAGCTGGAGAAAGAGAGTTAAATAACCAATGTGAGTGTTTGAAAACTGATGCTAGGAGCCTAGGACAGCAACGGAGGTAGGTGTGATCATGATTCCTGTTCCGGAACAGTTCAGGCCAGAACTAGCCATTTGATTCCTTATGCAGCTGAAAGGTCCATTGAAAAGCTGAAAAGAGCTGGGCAGGGGATGAGGTTAAAAACATGAATCCAGGACCGGACAAAACCGGCCCAGAACCAGAATTATAGGTCCCAACCCCAGGCTCCTATTTGTAAATGGCAGGACGGGCCAATCTGGGACCAGAATCGGACCAGCCCACCCCTAAACGGAGGTGGCAGCAAGAGGAAACTGCTACCACTGCTAATGCTGCTGTGTATAAAACAAATTGAATGTTCGCTTCCTGTACTTATTGCACATAGTTCAAACGCTATCCAACTTCACACTTGTGACCGACACCATTAACAGTTGAGAATATTTGCCATACAACAAAATTGAAGAATGTTTAACAATAACATGACCAAGACAATATTGATCATCAACTACCATCATTTTAGACAAGGGCTTTGTGTATGTTTTCGTTGAGTGAAAACATGATGCAGGTCTGCTTTAGAAGAAATCAAACTCGAGATAGTTATCTGAAGATTGATTCTGGGGCGGAGCTCCTCCTCCAGCACCTTTCTTGGGATTAGATGATGGCGGTGGTGGTGGTGGAGCTTCAAGCCTCTCAAAATTGACCGGCGGAGGGACCTCTGGCGGGCTAGCACAACGGATCAAAGCCCAATTCACGCCTTCGAAAAACGGATGCTGCTTAATCTCTGTGGCTCCTCTTTTGTAAGCCAGACGATTCTGTGGTTCTTTTACAAGTAAGCCCCTGATAAGATCTCTAGCAGAAAAACTGACAACAGGAGATTCTGGGAACCGCAGAGGCTGTCCGACAACATTGAAAAGGGTGGCCCGATTGTCCGAACCCCTGAAAGGCGTCTTACCGAACAACAACTCATACAGAAAGATCCCAAAAGTCCACCAATCCACAGCACTGCCGTGCCCTTCACCTTTTATGATTTCAGGTGCTAGGTACTCATGGGTTCCAACAAATGACATGGAACGTGCCCCCGTTGGCTCAGCAATGAGCTCTGGTAAGGGAGTGACTTGGTTGCCAACTTCATTTTTGGGCTTCCGCTCTTTCTTTGACTTTGACTTGCTGCTAGAGAAAAGGCGCGGGCCGAAACACGTTGTGGGGACCATACAGGATGGTTGGATACAGGAGGAGGGCTCGATGCATGCAGGTTGGGCACAATAAGCAGAGTTTTTCCTGAGGGGGTCCGTGTCAACAGACGAAGACTTGACTAATGTTGGACTGACAGTGCACCGAAGGGAGAGGTCAAAGTCAGAGAGCATAATGTGTCCATCCTCCCTGACTAGGACATTTTCAGGCTTGAGGTCACGGTACACAATGCCAAGCATGTGGAGATACTCCAAAGCGAGAAGAACTTCTGCCACATAGAACCTGCATCTCATCATAATAAGAAAATTAATATCGGAATAAGTATTTATCGAATCAAATATGAATTCAACCATTATAAAATTTAGGGGTGGGTGTTTCGGTTCGGTTTGGCCGAATATAACTAGTCATCTGATACAAACCAAAACTGAATCAATATACAACTTGGTTTTAGTTTTGGTCATTATCATTGTAAAATATCCAAGTAAGCTAAGGCATAAGTTACTCCAAGTCATGGTTGATATTTATATGCGTAATAGTTGCAAGTTTGTGTATGAGAAAGAATAAAGTAAAATATGGAATTTATGAAAACATTGGTTAAAAGAGAAAGCTTTTAAAAACTGAAATTGAAATAAAATTATTTATTTGAACCCCTGATAACTGTAGTATTTCCATAATAGTACAATGCGCAGATTGTAAACAACAACATTATTTTCCAATTGTATGAATTGCAATCCATTCTGATGTACCCCAAAAATGATGCTTTCTTTGTTCGACTTCTTAAAGAAGTTCATGAAATATAAAATAACATTGTGAAATGACTCTTCCCCCTATAAAAGCTTAACGTTAAAAACACTTAATTTCTTTTGGAAGATGGAACAAATGTACCCTTAAACTTTATGTGTGAGATCAGACTAAACACATAATTTTAAATTTGGAGCAAATATACCCTTAAATTATATATTAGAGAACATATATACCCTTTGACTATGTATCAGAGAACATTTATATCCCTTAACCATTAAGACGAAAGGATATGTTTGTGTTAAATTCTTACAAATGAAAGTTGAGGGGTATATTTGTTCCCTAAATGGTTGTGGGAAAGTTAATATGGACAAATTTGTCCATCATATTTGTTCCCTAAATGGTTGTGGGAAACTTTCATTGAGCACAAATTATAAAGAACCTGGAATGGAGTTAATTACTCCCTCCGTCCCCCCTAATTTTGTCCCGTTTTACCTTTTTCGTCCGTCCCATTAAGTTTGTCCCATACCATATTTGGTAATATTTGAGTGGTTAGAATTCATTTTTACTTTATTCACACTTTATCAATTCAATATCAACCACACAATTCTACTTTTTCTTAAAAACCACACCACACCCCTTTGTCCCAAACTTAGGGGGATGGAGGTAGTATATGAAAAAAGGTGAGAATAAAATACAAAGTTTGTAGAGCCAATGAAATGTCAAGGAATTGATTAATCTTCTTCAGATTTGATAGCAATTCGGAAATCCTACTTATTTGTGAGAGGAACATATATCATACATGTAGTTTCAGTTGCATAGAGAACCTTGCAAAAAAGAATTTAAAAACATTTCAAAAGAATATAACGAAGTTCCAAACATCTCTATATGTGTGAGCTAGATAATTAACCATACTGACTTCCAAGCCTTGAGGTAACGAATACTTCAAGTCTAAACACCTTTGCTATGATTCGATATACAAGTTGGGGCTAAATGGCTAATGTAAACCGTGTTTGGAACAGTAATTTTAAGTAAAAGCAATCGAGTATGCCTATGTGGTCAACTTAACTCTCTGGTTTTATATATAACTTTGAATTCAGTGTGTGGTTCAATAGAACTTTTAGTGCAGTTTCTTAATATGTATCTTTCATTATTAATACTAATTTAAAGAGATGGGGGGGGGGGTACACATTGAGGGGGGATACGGAGGTTTGACCGAAATTACAGGGGGGAAGAGAGGTAGAGAGAGTCATACTTCACTGCTTGCTCAGAAAAATGCTTTCCTGGTTGCCTCTGCCGAAGCATGTGCAGGTCACCTCCTGGACAGAACTCCATCACAAGACATGAAAACCTCTCTGTCTCAAAATGAGTGTATAAGCTTGGGAGGAACGGATGGTCCAGAGATTGCAGTATCTCCCTTTCTGTCTGGGAACGAACTAGTTTTTTTCGGTTTGCCAGCGATGCTTTGTCCATAACTTTCATGGCAAAGTAACACTTTGTACCACACAGCTCCGAAAGATGCACACTCCCAATATCACCACTTCCCAACTTTTTCAGCAACCGGAAATGCCTCAAATCCAGAAGGCCGTCTCTGGCCCGGACAGCTTGGATAGCCTCCCATCTCGAGTCGTTTGCTTTGTGCGGCTTATTAACACTGCTGCTCAAGCTACTACAACTGCTTTCATCACTCACATCAGTGCTTGTGCTTCCCCTATACATGCTACTCTTCCCACTCTCCATAAACTCTGCATGCTCACTCATTTTACCACTTTCACTAGCCTTTCTTGAGGCTAAGCTTTCTTTGAAAGTGTCGTCGCGATTATTATAACTTAAACCTGCTGAAGGTGTGTGCTTTGAAATACCCAAGGACAAGCTTGATTCAAGTGTATCAACAAGAGAATCTGCATCTTCCTTTTGTTGAATGTGGTTTGACTTCATATTGACTGCATTAAGCAGCATGGAAGCTTTTTGAACCCCGTGAAACTCTTTGGAGCACAAATTCTCCAAACTGCTATTTTTAGATATTTGTGAACCCTTGAACCAGATGCAAAACCTTAACCTCACTCACCTCGAAACACATCATTAAGCTGCCAAGTTTAAATTCATCTACAGCTGAAGCCTATCTGGTCAAGAAAATTAGAAAAAGAACAAATAAATCAGCTCCTCACTCAATGCAACAAATTTGGACGGATTTTCAAGAGCCAAACTTATACAAAGCAAGTTGCAAATGATTAGTAATTAGGAGAAAAAGGCGTGTGAGGGAGCAAATACAGGGTCACATGAAGGATTCAATAGAAGCAAAGACACAAATAAACAGAAAAATCACATAATGTATAGCTAAATTGACTTAGTGAAGGATTAGTCTGGGAAGGCAAATGGCTGATTTATCATATTTACAGAAAATCGACCTTGTTGGAGATGTAGATCAGAATTAAAAGCAACACAAAAGCAGAGAAGACATATTATATAGCTCCTACCTTAAAATCTCAATCTTTGTTTCAGGATTTGAGAACCTTGAATCACGGGAGGCAAAAACAAGTTCGCAAAAAAAAATATAAACTATTAACTGATATACAAAAATGTAGCTTTGCTACAACACGAAGCCATTACACAGCACAAAGCATGAGATAAGAGCAAAGATAATTGAGAAATGCAAAGTAGACAATGAAAGCACACAGATCTCGGGCAAAGACCCGTTTCTTTCTAGGGCAGCCCTACCAAGAGAGGATTCAACCCCCCAGAAAGATCCAGATGCTAAAAAACAACAAGGTAAAGGTGCATAGAGAAGAAAAACCCACCAGGCAAATCACTGGACAATTTAAAAGTGGCTGGATAAAAGCGGCCAAAAAAACAGTACTTTGAACTTTTGAAGACACAAATATCAGTATTTTACGGGTCTTCACTTTGCTTTAGCAATGGGGAAGAAATTGCTTTAACAATGAGGGAGAAAAAAGAGTTCCATTACTGTAGAGAGAGATTAAGGCAGTGGGGGACCTCTGAGAAATGTGTGGAGGAGGGATAGAGAAGAACGGTTATGATTGTGTAGAAAAAGATGCGAGAGTTTTTGACATTTTTTAGACCGATACAGGGAATTGTTTTACTTTTGATGCATTAATTAATTAATACTCCGTCTCTAAAATAACTCTAATCTTGTGACCTTATTAAAAAAGCTCACATTTCATAGGCAAAAGTAAATCTGTCCAAGACTTTTTCTGCAACTCATTTATGATTTGTTTGACTATAAGCTTATAGGTATAATATTTTAAAATTATCAACCTCATTATTGACATACTCCACTAAGTATTATTTTTTTTTTTTCACTAACTATTATTTTTATTTTCCTTTTTTGATCATTTTCTCATTTTCATTAAATTTTTGGAACTGTGCACAAAGTGGTTTACTTCATCTATATTGAAATGTTTGCACCTATAAGATTTGACATAATGTTTAAGAGAAAAGTAATATGCGTAACAAATAATTTGTAAAAAGTAAGAGTAATTGAGTTTTTTAAACTGAAAACTTACCAAAAATTGAAAGCGTGAGGGGGGCCGACTGAGCATAATTCGGTCCTGACCGGAAAACCAGACCGATCGGTCCAGATCGGACCCAAAACATAAGGTTTATCCTAGTAGTCTCTTTGAATCTATGATAATAATAGAAAAATAAAATCCAAAACAAGTTCTATCTGACTTTTACAAAAGCACAAATTTCAAGGAGTTTGGTAAGTTGATATCACTTTAATGAGCCTCTTGCCTTCTCTATTTCTTGGACCCGGGTTTGGTTCGCCGACCCATTGACAAGTCTACTCAGCACCATGAACCACCTTCACCATGGCGGTGGTTCAAAAGGAGAGTTAATAATTGAGGTCTTGGAGTCGTCGATGTCTAAAATCTCAACACCCAATCAGTTTCACTTGACATTGCTAGAAAGAAACCACATAAAATAACTTGGAAATACTTATAAAGAGATAAATTTCATCTTTAGAAGAAGAAAACCGATTGAGAAGAAGAGAAGAGAGGGGAGACAACCAGGGTTTTACGCTTCGCCACTCCCCAAGTCGCTCATTAGGTTTCCTTCTACCGATCAGCAAAACTTCTATATTAAAAAAAAGGATGACACTTCATCCCTGAGGTGTCATCCTTTGAGAATGTAAATTGGGAGGATGTAAATTGGACTATAATCCCAATCTGACAGATAGAGTGGGGGCCATGTCCCACTATATTTAAACTATTGTTCGTCTCCTATGTATTTAGTGCATTCATTCAATTGATCCGTTTATGTTCGTCTCCTTTGTATTGTTCGTCTCCTATGTTTTGGGTCCGATCGGTCCAGATCGGACCCAAAACATAAGGTTTATCCTAGTAGTCTCTTTGAATCTATGATAATAATAGAAAAATAAAATCCAAAACAAGTTCTATCTGATTTTTACAAAAGCACAAATTTCAAGGAGTTTGGTAAGTTGATATCACTTTAATGAGCCTCTTTGCCTTCTCTAGTTCTTGGACCCAGGTAGGGATGGACTGGGCCGGGCCGAACCGGCCCGGAACCGGACCGGCCCGCTACTGTGCGGGCCCGGACCGGACCGGGCCCGGTTGGCCGGTTCCGGGCTTTTAGCCCGTTTTGGCGGGTCGGGCGGGCCGGTTCCGGGCCCTGTTTTTGTTGAACCGGCCCGGGCGGTTCGGGCCGGGCCCGGTTCATTTTTTTTTTTTTTTTTGGTTTTTTCAATTTTTTTTCTTTTCCTAGGGTAGGGCTGGGTGTTTTAGGGAGGTTTGGGGCGTGGGGGTGAGGGGGGGGGGGGTAGGGAGATAACAAGAAAGTCAAAAAAAAAAAAAAAAAAAAAAAAAAACATTGAACCGGGCCCGGCCCGGCCCGGCCCGGTTAGGCCCGGACCCGGTATCAACCCGGGCCGGTTCCGGGCCCATGTAACCCGAAAAAAAGCCCGCCCGGGCCCGGCCCGGAACCGGAACCGGCCCGGCCCGGGTCCATCCCTAGACCCAGGTTTGGTTCGCCGACCCATTGACAAGTCTACTCAGCACCATGAACCACCTTCACCATGGCGGTGGTTCAAAAGGAGAGTTAATAATTGAGGTCTTGGAGTCGTCGATGTCTAAAATCTCAACACCCAATCAGTTTCACTTGACATTGCTAGAAAGAAACCACATAAAATAACTTGGAAATACTTATAAAGAGATAAATTTCATCTTTAGAAGAAACGGATTGAGAAGAAGAGAAGAGAGGGGAGACAACCAGGGTTTTATGCTTCGCCACTCCCCAAGTCGCTCATTAGGTTTCCTTCTACCGATTAGCAAAACTTCTATATTAAAAAAAAGATGACACTTCATCCCTGAGGTGTCATTCTTTGAGAATGTAAATTGGGAGGATGTAAATTGGACTATAATCCCAATATGACAGATAGAGAGTGAGGGCCATGTTCCACTATATTTAAACTATTGTTCGTCTTCTATGTATTTAGTGCATTCATTCAATTGATCCGTTTATGTTTTTATTTTTTTGAAATACGAGAAACGTTCGTTTTATTTCCTTTTTGTAAAGTGCATAGAGCGGGAGTTTTTTACCTTTTCAAAAAAAAACTTGGCACCCCATTTTCAAAAAACTTTGACTTTGCACCCCAACACATACCATTTTGTGAAAAAAAGTTCTAAATAGAGTGCAAAGTGAAAGGTATTTTAAGTAAAATAGGGTGCAAAATCAAAGTTTTTTCAAAATGGAGTGCAAAGTCAAATTCCCCGTTAAAAAACTCAATCACAACCTTTTTTTCGTTTTAAACAATACATGTTTGAAACGCGTTTAAAAGGCAAAAAATGACTAACTAGGCTATGGATGTTCAGCCAAATAAGGCAAATATCCTAGCAACAATATTTATATTCCTAAATATCAACGGGTTTAAAATATGCACCGCATTTTGACCTCCTCATTTCCCCCTTTAACAGTATAACCTTCTAAATTCTACCAAGCCCTAGTTAGGGATGGACTCAGGCCGGGCAGCATGGTTACTGTTTGAACCGGTCCGGGGGCGGTTCGGGTCGGCCCGGTAGGAATGCGGTTCGGGCTCGGGTCCTAGAATTGGTGAACCGGCCCGGCCGGTTCGGGCCAAATTAATTTTTTTTTTTTGAATTTTTTTTAAATTTTTGGGTTGGGCTGGGTATTTTGGGTCATTTGAGGTGGTTTGGGGGTGAGGGGGGAGGGTTGGGGGTTAATTAGGAAAAGCCAAAAAAAAAAAAACGAGGCCCGGCCCGACCCGGACCCGAGATTACCCGGGCCGGTTCCGGGCCTCCCATTCCTGAACCGAGGCCCGGCCGGGCCCAGGCCCGAACCGGAACCGGTCCACCCCTAAGCCCTACCCGTATCTAGTCATGGACCCGGGCCTTGGGTTTTTTGGAGAAGCCACTGGGTTCGGTCCGGGCCTCAGGTCAATTTTTTTTCCTTTTCCTAATTAACCCCCTCACCCCCAACCCCCAAACCACCCCAAATGGCCCAAAATACCCAGCCCAAACTGAGAAGATAAAAAAAATTGAAAAAAAGAAGAAGCCCGGAACCAGGCCCAAACCGGCCAGACTGGTTTGGCTTTTGGGTGACCCAAGCCCGCACCGGGAACCCCCCGGGCAGGGCCTACCCAGACCGGTCACTGGCCGGGCCACCGGGCCGGACCGGTTCAGCACAGTACTAGTCCCGGGCCGGGCCACCAGGCTCGAGTCCAAGACTGCCCGTATCCACTTTTTCCCAAATTAAAACTATAGTGCTTTCTTATGTTCTCAAATCAGCACCGACGTAGCAAGGACATGGATACACAGGAACGCAAATCCAGGGATACATTACAACAAACTGTAGTGCAACATATAAAATATAGCGATTCCTAAATGCAACATAAATAATTAAATATTAATAGAACATTAGAAATTATTAGTTAGACTTGCAGAGAGTTACAGATCTGTTTTTGCATAGAGCACATAGAGATACTCGATTGGGTTAGAACTTAGAACTTTAGAAGCCTTGATTTTTAAATGCTAACACTAGTCCATAAAATTTTCAACATACCCAAGCACAAGTTACAGATATCAGTTACTGAAATTGAGTACCTCAATTGGGCGAAAATGGCAGCTTAGTAAGGTACTAGATTATAACCATTGCAGGCCATAAATGCATGAAATCATGGAGTATAAAACATAACCCAAAAAAATTCTGTCAACACGAAGGCAAGATAATCTAAAAAAGAAGGGTATCATGATTATTATAGCATTTGCAAAATACAAAAGCTTTCAGCGGCCTGAGAACTGTAATAAATGTTGGGATGCAATTTGACTTTATAATACGTAAATGCTCACAGCTAATAATAAAAACTAAAACAAAGTAATCCTACAGATTTCTAACGCTACAGAAGCTGAACCCCTTGCTGTATAGAGCTCAAGGCACTTCTTCTACCTCTGGAATCCTAAACAACCCAAGTTTACAATCGGCTGGAACACTGGTTAAGAAATACAATGGGCTAATTGAAGAAGCAAAACATTACACAAGAGGATAAGGGTGGCTGGGGGGGCATTAGCAACTCACTAAGTTTTCAGGTCTTCACACCTTGACTGGAAGGCTGCACTTCATCCTTTGTACCACCAGCTTCCTCTTCCTCTTCCTCATCATCTCCTTCATCTGCAAGTTTAGTGAGTTCATCCTGGATCATAAGTTTTATAGATGCCTTTCTTGATGTGAAATCCGTGTTAAACCGCTTGGCTGCCAAAAATAAAGTCAGAAAATCATTTATTGAGAAAAATAATTCCCTATCCATTTCATTATTAATTATTAATATCAGCAATCCATTGTGCCAGAAGTTCATGCATTCAATTTTCTCTTTGAACCCCTTTTGCAGTTCTTTTCAAATAGGCGTGTGATGGGGGACAGGGTTTCTGAAATGGATATTTGGTTGTGCAAAACATACCAAGTAACTTTAGAATGTCGGTGAAGGTGGCCTGCAATATGAAATAAAAGAGGTCAATTGTAGACATGTAATGAGCGTCTACCATAGCTACAACATAAAAATAACACCACAAGTAATTTAAAAAGAAC